AAAAAAAAAAAAAAATGAAAAGAGTATAATGTAAAGCGTATTGTAAACGGATAGAAACATATCTGCTCGATATTTACATAAGTTCCTCGGTTATCGTTTATTTTCAACGTTAAACAAGAGAAAGAATGAGAAACATAGAAGATCGTGTAGGAGATCTCCATTAAAATGACTGCGTTAACGCCTCAGGCGATATGCACGTAATCATTGTTAATTATTTGCTGTAATATAATATAACGCGACGTTTGTAAATAAATTGAACCTTAATCAAAGTATACTTGACTTTCCTATACTATTTCCCAGTCATGTGAATAGATCCTTTGGTGACAAGTACTATCACAGTGTTTTTTTATGCATTTCTGTAATCTTCTTGGATTTCAGAAATATTTAAATTCCTAATACAGTGAAAGCTTGAATTAATCACGATACACTCAGATAGTCGAATTTTTTGAATAATCTCTAATCTTTAGAAACTTTTAAATGAAAACGTAGCAATCTTTTTCTGTTCCTATTCTTGTCTTTTTCGCAAGAAACCATTCCTTGATTATTCATTAATTAATATTCCTACAATCGATTGTCAATCAATCACGCAATATCACGTCACCATAATCGATCAATTTATCATATTCTGAAATGTGATTATCATATTTCACCGAAATATTACACAGACGATTACATCTTCGTGAACTGGTTCTTGACACACGAAACGAAAAATAGTCAGAATCGATCAAGAAATCATTGGAACGTATCTTCTACGTATTTGTAGAACTAATCGGAGGTTATGTGAGGGAGGAATCATTGTAGGGGAAAGTCTAAAGAACGAGAAGGAGGAACTTCCACGCCTCCCCTTCGACTCTCGATCCACCCCTCCGTTGCGTCGTGTTTTATTTCTGATAGCGACGCCTCCGTCGTCGCCGCGAGGACATTATCGCCACCGCGAAGGACCTTTTCTTCCCCCATAAAGGCAATCACGCTTTCTTCGTGGCAGAGATAACAGCAGAATGGAGAGCCAGAGACGTCTCCGTTCGCGCCAGCGAATTCCACCACGATTCCATAATTCTTCGCTTGGCCACGGATCGAGCAAAACGATTCCTTGCACTTTCTTTCTTACTGCGAATCGAATTTCGTGAGACGTACGGGCATATTGTTTCTTACGACGATTTTCATTGTTTCGTATTGAAATTTTGCGAAGTATGAGTTGATCGTAATTTTAGCTTGGAGTAACATACAGTGCGAAGATCAATCTTCGAGTTATTTATTCGTCATTATATAACTACACGGCCGTGGTTACAATCTTCTTGTGTTCATATTTTCGAATTCATAAAGTTATGAATTCTGGGAATTATTATATTAAGAGAAAAACAACTGCAATGAAATAAAAGGACACTGAATTTTACGGCCGGCAAAGGTATGAAATAACCTGAATTACTATGTTGAACCTGAGCTAATATATTATTAATATAGTGACAGAGTACACCAAATTACAATTCTTGTAATTGTAACCCACAAATTTTGATTTAAATATTACAAGGTGTTTAAAAATCCTACCAAGCAATCTTAATTTTTAATTTTTGGAAAAAAATTCACAATTCACGGAAGAAGAAATAGCTCGATGGAAAACGTGGACGTTTAAAATTTGAAGAAGGGCACGAGGAACGACCGGAAGCCCGAAGAACCGGCGTAGACTCGAAATGCACGATGGGTGTTCCGATTCGAAAGTGATTACATTTGACTTGGATTCGTGCCTCCTTACGGCAAAGGCAGCCTCTGCCGGTACAGAGCCTCGGCAACGAGGACATTCTTCCCCGACAATACCTCCCACAATCGAGCGAGCAGCACTTCCGCGCATACTAATGGAGAGGCGCCTAGACTCCTTTGGCCAGCCAGTAGTCGACGCCCCAATTCACCCTTTTCCCCCCTTTTCACCCCTTTGCGCGCCACTGTGGAAAACTTCTCCTGTGAAGACATACCTTCTCCTCTAGTTTCTAGCACAGAAACACCACCGCGCGATAGATTCTTCCGCGAAGAGTCGATTTTACGTTCTTCGATTATGTTCTTTTGCAACGTGGAAAAAAATTAAGAATGAAGTATGTAAAAATTTCACGCCGTCGTATTTCTCTTTTTTCCTGAATGATAGAATTTGACATCGATGTGCCTAATTTCTAATATCCACTTAAATAGAATAAGATGCGAAGTGGAAAATAAGAAGGAAAGGACCGATATTAATAAAGAGTTGACTATCTTAATGGTAGAGTAAACTTGTGAAAATGACGGATATCAATTTCCTTCCTTCTATTTATAATTACACTTTGATCTTAATAAAAAGTGAACCTTAATTTTGTTAAAAAGAAAATTGATCCTCAAGTTTCACGTAAGCGCATACGTAGATGATACTTTCGTCTGTATTCGTCTCTGCTCTATTCTATTCACGTTTTTATAGTAATCTTATCTGATTATTACAGAAAACAGAAATTATTTGGCATATTATAAAGGAAGAGGCAACAAATTGGTGCCAACTACCAAAGAAACTTTTTAACTTTCATCGTTGTGTCTGCACCTTAACTCGCGTCACACGATATCCATGGATGTCTCGTCGTTTCGAAAGAATCGGATGACGCGAAGGAAAGGAGCAGAGGATACGAAGGAGACGATACGCAATTCGATAGACGTTTTAATTGCGTCGGTGCGCAATTATATAAGCGCTTTTGTAGACGCCGTGTGAGAGTGAGCTGAAGCGCATCGCACGAATCGTTTGATTGCGGAAAATGACGGGCGGCAATGGTGCGAGTGGAAGTTTTGAGTGGGCGTCGGTCCTGGCAGACAATGAGGCATTCAGGGGTGGCATTGTCGGGCCGACAACTGCGTTACCGTAGACAAACCCGAAATCACCGGCGCTATCGCCGTCCCAGATCCGATTATGCGAATAATAAAATACGGCGAAACAGAGGGAGAAAGAGAGAGAGAGAGAGAGAGAGAGAAGAAGGGAGGGAGAGAGAGAAATAGAAAGAGATGCAACGTGGTGAAGCAATGGATGCAGAGTGAGAAGTTTGTTAATAGCGTCAGGGTCGTGTCTTTTTCTCCGCTCCAACCTTATTCTGTTTCCTCTTTATGTGGAGCAACAGAATGATCCTGTGAATTCTGATAGCAGGCAATGTAGAAAGTGGCTGAAAATTCTTACTACGATCGCGTCTCATTTGGATAAAATATCGTATATTATATTAGATTCAACTTGATTTTTTAGATTATTTAAAGATTGATCTCTTCTTAGTAGAGATAGATGTAAGAGTAAAATTTCTTAAATTGTCAATATTTTTACGAAATAATTGTTCGTCGAGTATGAGCACATATATAGTCTTTTCAGAATAGTCTTATAGAATTTATTATACTTATTAAAATTTTTCCCTACCTATTCTTACTTCCACATAGACTTGCTTTAATATTTCATAATTCATCAAAGTTTCACGCTAAGTTCTACATGCCTTTATTTCATTATGATTGTTCTCTTCTTATCGTTGTTCAACGAAATTATTTGTCAATAAACAATAATAAAATCCAACAAGAACGAATATTACAAATGTTACATACGTTTCAACCAGCCGGAGAATGAATTCAGATCAAGAATACACGATGTCCTCGGCACAGGATCAATTGGCGAAGTGGGTCGCGCGAATATTCGTCTGGAAACTAGGTAACAGGGACGTTGATCGGTCGTAAGGGAGACAAACGTGGCACGGAGAATCGTCGTAGAAATGATATCCTCCCAAGCAGTGGCTATAATTATGCATTAGGGATTGTCAAGTCCGGTGGAAGTTGGCGAACTTGGTTAATTAGGAACGGTAGTCAGACGCCGCCCAGTATTGTCCAGCACTGTTGACTTCCGGCCTCTTCTCACCACCACGAAAGCCCCGCGGAGAGCTGGCTACAGGGTTGATTGTTTCATTGTTTCCGACCCCACTGTCAAATGCCACCACGCTGAATGGGGTTATTGTTATTTCAGGCCGTGGCGCAGACAATCCAAGGGTTTTCGGGATCCCCAACTGCTTCGTGGTTTAATGTCGAGGTATGTCGACTTCGGGCACGTCGACAATCGCGTTGCCTTCTTGCCATTGCTCTCGAAACTTCGCCAGAGAAGCTGAGGTTACCGAAATTGGCCAACAGTTTAATAATAATGTGTCTCGATACATGTGATTCAAAGTATCTTCTACGAATTCTTCTCCCAGAAGAACGAAAGAATACCAATCAGCATCTTCAATTCTTGCTCAATACATTATTTTTAAGAAGGAATTCGTCGTATTATACAGTTACATTTAAGTGTATTTACAATTGTATCATAAGAAAATTGTGTTTAGTTAAATCATGAAATTACAAAAATAGAGATTGCTTTGTCAGATTGTCCAATTTTTCATTCGATGATAAATTTCAAAAATTGAAGTAAATTTAAATTCCTTTAAAATCTGTCTCTTGGCGACAGTACTAGAATAAGTAGAATTCTATTATCTATGTAAACTAATAACTACGAATAATACAAAGTATGATATTCGAAAGTAAACTTTCGAACGTTATCCTAATTAGAGAAACTTGTGGTTTTCTACTTTAAGATTTGTATAAAGTGGCCAACTAAGTTATTAAAAATCTGTTCCAAGAAACAGATACAGCTTTCTCGCAGAAACTATAATTTCTTAAAGCAGGAGGAAAAGAATTTTTTTAAAAGATGCAGCAACAACGTTTCTGCTACAATCTTCGATGGGATCCCTCGTCAATTTATCGATTTTCCCGCGCGAATCGCGCGACCCTCGGTGTCCCATGCTCGTGTTGACCGGAAGTCCGTCCAGGCAGCACCCACTGGCCGCTTTCGGTTTTTCAATTTCGCATAATGTCTGAGCATGGTCTATCGGAGTCTTGGAAAAGCGCGCACGTGATAAGATAGCCATGGCCAATACCAGGGAATTTACGTTCGGCATAAGTTTGCCTTATATATGAGCGTCCACGGGAAATGCGACGATCCTATCGGTAGCGGGCCGGGTCATGGAGATCCGTCGGTGAAATGTTGCCCTGGCTAGTATTTTACTAGTTCTGGGGGATGTGACGCGTTCGAAAAGCAACCGCGAAACCGTTCAGAACGGACGGAGATAAACTATGTGGCTACCGTGGCCACGTCTGCAAGCGCTGTCTTTTAAAACGTAATCTTCTGCTCGGAAATCGCCCGATGATCGAGCGACTACGATCCAGTAGTCACATATATCTTTGTTCGTAAATATTGGCAACACTTAGCGAAATTCAAGTGAATCTTGAAAAGAATCAGAAAAATTTAAATACATTTGAAAAACTGCCTGGAAAAATCACTGGATTCTTTCTGAAATCTACACTACAATTTGCAGAATCTATAGACTATGATTATAGAATATTCTAAGAAGAACATCGACATAAAACTGACGCAAGAAATCACACACATCGACTCAATTATTTTCACATCTTCTTTAAATTTAGAAAAAGTGATAAAAAAAAAAGCGATGGAATTGAAAATGGTCTCGAAAAACGAGACAAGATTAAATTTCGAGAGTCTCAAACTCTGGACATTGCACTAAAACCCTGATACTAGAACGTAATACTAAAAACCAGATTTTGAGCATAGAGTAAACTACACGTTTAATAGTAATAAAACTAAGAGAGAAGAAGCAAGTCTGGAAAGGATCATTTCCTTCAAGCTTTGAGAAAGAATCGCGCGTAGGTCCGCCAACGGAAGCGAGGCGAGAAAAAAAAAGCAGGTCGGCGGAAGGGGCCATTCCAAAGATACTTCATCACGATTTAACGCCATAAAAGTCGAATAAGGCCCGATGCCGAGGTGATGCCCCGACACCTTCTACCGCGGATTGGAAACAAAATGTCGTAAAATATCGGGTGGAAAGCCAACGATTCCCTCCTTTTCTCACCCCTTTCACCCCCTGCCTGTTTCTAACGGTATCCCGGCTTTCCCTCTCGTTTCCCCGCCCTGTACACACTGACCCGAGAACGACGGATATAAAATCGTGGCTGGTAGGGGCTGGCAGCTCGCGCTGGCGGTAAATATAAATAAAAATGGAAAGCCGACCATAATGGCCGATGGAAAGTATGACGCATACCTATAGCCGTGGCTGTTTCAAATTGATATTTCGAAAGTGCCCTCCGGGGTGCAGGCGAACGCACATTCTTTCTTCACACGCTCTACTCTATTTTCTCTTCCCTAACTTCTTCGATGTTACCCTGCAACGTTGTTCAACCTGGTTTTTCCGGCTTCGCGATGTTAGATTTCTGTTAAACGCTGTTACGGTCCTTGAATTTTTATGGCTGAGCCTCACTCTCGTTTTGACAAACGAAGGAACTTTTTACGATCTCTGTGTTAATCCTGTGTTGATTCTGAATTTTTAACTTTTTGCGTTTGTTGCAACAGAGGAAAATAATCTTTTGATAAATTAGTGTCTAAAAAAAAAAGATTCGCAAGATTCTGAGAAAGTTTTAACAATAAAATAAGATGATAATGATAAGAGAAACATTGAAAGGTGTATCTAAATTTTAAATTTCTTTAACGTGTGATAGGGATCACGTGTTATACATCACAATTATATCGCAGTTATTTTGTGGCATTATACAATAATTGCCAGCAGATACAGTTTATCGTGATATTTTAAGTCATAGCTGACGATTTCGTTTTTTCATCGTGTAAAAATCAGGCCATTGTTCTGTACATCGCTTCCGGAACCCATTGACCATCGGATCGGTTACTGACATAAGAAGACAATTCGATTTTGGCGAAAGGAGACTTCATCTACTTACAAGTCTTCATTTTTGGTTTCCTAAACTTATATAGCAGATGCTACATTTGGAAGAATTTACTTAAAATGTGAGAAATTTAAGGGAATTCATTTGAAGATACTTCTTTCAATTTTTCACTAAGAAGATATTTGATATTTGATATTTGATCATAAAAGATATCATAAATTCGTTCAAGTATGGTACAGAATTGATGATATTCGTATCATATCCGTCTCGTTTCAAATAAAAATAGTAATGGCTCTAGACGCTAGTTTTAATCGATTTCAAAGGCTATAACATCTTGAACTTATCCATACGACGCCCGACATCGATTCCAAAGCACCAATAACGCGAATAAATCCCTTAATAAATACGTAAACCCGACGTAGACTCGTCAGTCATTATCATTCCTCTGGCAATTCACTTTAAATAATTCAATCATAGATATGCAAATGGTAAAATGGTGCCAATCGTTTCCCAACTATATCACTGACAATTTCTTCGAATGGCCAAAGATATTGTACGTGTTGCACGGCGCAGAAACTCTCTATAATCTCTGCAAATTTCAAATAATCAAATACATAGTTGAAGCATTGCACCTTTCACTTAAAGAAAAAAAAAAAAAAAAGAAACCCTAAAAAAATAACGAAGCATGAAATTACAAATACAACAAATACTGTGACAGAAGAAACTTTTAAGAAATGAAGAAGACGTGCGAAAGGGAGGCTTTCAGCAGGGGAAATTTTCAGCGGATCGGTAGAACGAAGGAAATCGACGAAGGATAGACGGAAGAAAGAAAAAACGGTACTCGCGGGAATGGCGCGGCGCGAACACGCAAATTATTTTTCACGGTGACAACCGTCCCCGATAGAGGCTCAGGAATCCATGCACCAATGGATATGCAGCGGAGGCAAAATATAATGCAACGTTCGCTTCTCTCTTCTCTCCGCTCTTCTATTTCCCCGTAGCCAACAAAGGAAGGATTTGTCGCGAAGCGAAGCTCCGCCGTCGACAAAACCTTACCCTCTCCCCTTCGCACCCCTCCTTCACCTGTCTATTCGTACGCTTTGTAAAGCTTTTAGCCCATTACGAGAGCGTGTGTAGCGCGTTCGGCTCGTCGCGATTGATGTAATGCTATTCTTGCTGCCGAGCATATTTATGCTTATGC